TGGCATCTGCCAAAGAGCACACAGCTGTCTTCCCATGCCACACAGATGTGCACACATATATATATCTATAACATATATAACACATATAAGTAAATCTCCATATATATAGAGAGATATTCAAGGAAGTTGTAAACTACGCACTGTGCCTATTAAATTGTGATTTGTTTCATTGGGTTGGCAATCTGAAGACAGTTCTATTCCTTGTGCTCCTCCCACAAGACAAAGGCTGCAAATTGTTGGGAATGGGGCTGGTGGTGGGGGATAAACAAAAATGACGACATGCGAAATCGAATGAGCAACGCAGAGCTCGGGAGCAAAATTTGTTCGTCTATACGAAAAATAAATAAAGATGAAAAATTATGAAAAACAGGCGGCAGTCAGGCGCTGAGACGAGTGGATTTTCCTCTTTTCTTTTTGGATTTTTCAGCGTTTTTAACGGAAAATATTTTTAGCCAAAAGGCAGAGCAGAGTTGAGTACAAATATTGGAAAGCCGAAAATTGTGTACATACGTATATATGTATGCGTGTGTGTGTGTGTGTGTGCGTGTGTGTGTATGTCTATATATATGTGCATTTGGAACTTGGCAACAGGCACAACGCCCACTTCCGCAGCTAGATGAAACACTTCCTACCCAAATATCCTGACGTAGCACTTCAAGTTGTGAAACAACCACAAATAGTCTATAATTTTTTATTAACTTTTATCCATTTTTTGCAGTTGTTCAATATTATCAGATATTCCTTAATTTTTCTGTTATGTGGGTGGATTGATTGGAAAACTATAGCGCTCCGATCCGTACACGCCGACGCGTCGCGACACACTGCAACTACGCTCCAAAATTTCGAAAACTCTAAGACAGCCAAATTGTTGAAAAATTCTATTCACAAAACGAAATGAAGAAGAAGAAGATGAAAAAATGTATTGAAATGCCGACACGAAACGAAACGAACTGTAAGAGATGGATGGCAGATTTTCGGGAGCGGTGCGAGCGAGAGGCCCAAATGGACAGGCGAGCGAGCGAGCTGGTGAGCGAGTGGCCCGGAACTCAAGTGCACGAGCGATCCACGACGAGCACGGCAATTCATGTTCGATGCTCAGCAGCTGGCCGCCCATGGTCTCGCAGCAGTACGCCACACAAGCCCCCCAGCCCCCACCTCTATACATCATCTCCCACCCACACACAGTAGTTTCCGCTGCCTCTGCCGCTGCCGCTGCCATTGCCTTGTGGCAGAGGAATTGTTTCTAAAAACGGACAAAATAGCTTATTAGGGAGGAGTCCCAGGCCCCTGCCCATGCCCATGCCCATGCTCATGCCCATACCTAGCCATAGCCCCACATCCGACGGCTGCAGTTCACGTCAAAGTTCAAGCGGCCTGCACTCGAGTGTGATTAGGTAGCAAAAGGGAAATGCTGCTGCCGTTGTTTAGACTAGCTCGTGCACTAGCCACACCCAAGACCTGGCCCGTGTCTCTCAAAATAAACAATAACAGCAGCAGCAGCAACAGCAGCAGCCGTAGCAGCAGCAGCAGTCCAAAAGAACAGATCAGTTGAAAATGGAAAACTGAGAAATGTTCGCCTGGAATATGAATTTTTTATTCTCTAAACATTCCGTCTGTTTATGTTTACGGGGCGCTGGGCTGGAGGGATGCTGCTGCTGCTGCTTCAAGTGGCGTTGGAAACTCGGAAAATGCTCAGTTACCCATGCTGCCAGCTCCCATTTAACTTTCTCTCACATTGTAAACATTTCACTTGACGCGTTGCTAAATTTAACATTCTCGCTTCACAAAACACACAAATAAATTACGGAAATAAACAAATTAAAGCAAGCAATGATCGAAAATTAAGATAAAATACCTGTGCGGTTTCTTCTAAATAAAAGAAATCAAAGAGATTCAATTTTCAATCATTTCAGCAACTTTATTTATGTATATACTTTATTATAAACTTTTAATTTTATTATTCCTTTCTTTTTGTATTATTTCTAATTGTTAATATACTTTTTCTAATCTTGAACAAAATTAGTATACCCATATAATGTTCCTTGTACTCCTGAGTTTAGCATAGATTCATCCATACCAATACTTACTATTTTATTATGTATTAAACTGCACGAATTTAACAATTGTGAATTGTGTGAAATCCATGTTAATAAAAAAATAAATAAATAAATACTTATTAAATAAATACTTACTTAAAAATATCATGTATAAGCAAAATACAATTCCTAATACAGGAAAAGTTTAAGCATCAATGTGACTTTTTCAAAAATCCTTATTCCTTTGGAATCTGAAATCTCAGCTTTGTTGAGAAAATGAGAAAAAAAAAATATGTCCCCAATATCTTAATCAACTTATAATACTGAATGATCTAGTAATCGAATAATCGTAGGGACACAGACTTCATTATTCCCAAGTTTCATATCCAAATCGAAATTGAGGCTACCCCACATGGATTTCCCATATAATAGCTATATATCCTATATATACTACTAGTACTATTTTCAGACCCAGGTCAAATATTTGAATGGTACCAACTTGGCTATCTAATAGAATAATAGGATTGTTTTTTAAGTCCTACTTTTTGATATACTCAAATCTCAATTGATTTTATTCAAACATATATTTGACACTCGTAAATCCTTGTGTTCGACTTTACTTTTATATTTGATTTTGTATTGAAAGAGGAAGGCGAAACTTGAGCACGATGTCCACAGTATCGAGACTAGTCGGCTCTACCAGAGGGAGCCAGATAGAAGTGTATGAAAATATTTGGAAGAAGCTCAAAATAGCTACCATCGATGTGGACAAGGTGCTAAAGGCCAAGGAGCTGCTGGCCGCAATGCAGCGCCGCAAGGCATTCAGGAATCTGTTTGGCCTGGAGGTCAGTGATGGCAGTGAACTGAATGTTGACGCCTTGCAGCGGCTGGAATCGGTGCACAGCCTCAGAAAGATGACCATTTTGGAAGACACCAGTACCACTGAAGATGTCGATATCGCTGAGGAAGAGGAGCTGAGCGAGGATATTTGCCAGTTGCCATTTGACGAAGAGCGGTGGGGCAATTTCTTCACCGACTTTGAGATCCTCGGCGTACCGGAGGGCGTCAATCCCAATGGGAACAACCAGTGCATCGAGCTGGGCTACGGCAGCACCGACGAGGAGCTGAATATGTATTTGCGTGAGTGTGAATGAGGGAATGACTGCACCTTGGGATTATTTCATAATTTTGTTGCAGAGACTGGCGTACGCTGTTTTCTGGTCGATTTGTTCCGTGGACCCCTGGGCAGGACTCAGGATCTGGTTGTCCGGCTGCGCGAGACAGAGATCGCCGTGTCCAAGGAGTACGGCTTTCCCGTCGTGTCCACCATCATTGCCAAGCTGTCACCGCGCCATCAGTACAGCGGATATTTGGCCGAAGAGTACACGACGGGTGTTAAACTGTGCCAGGGCGAGAGAGTCACCCTGACTACCGACCGGGATTATTCGCTGTTTTGCACGTCGCGCGTGATTTATGTGAATGCGCGCTTCCTGCTGGTGGATATTCAAAAGTTTGACATAATCCTGGTGGGCGAGGATATACAGCTGATGGTGCGCACCGTCCGTCAGGATCATCTCACTTGCTGCGTCTGCCGAGAGGGCACCCTAGAGTCGTTTATGCCGGTGCTCTTCCCGCAACGCTGTAGCCGATATCGCGTCTCCTACGAGGAGGTGGAGGACTTGACATTCTCCCGCGAGGTGGGCATCAATGTGGTCATATCCAACATCGCCGGCACCGTGCAGTACGTGAACGACTTGGAGAGGGTCATGACGCAGCTGCAGTGCGACGGTCTCAGACTCTACGCCCGCGTGGTGATCAACGACATTAAAGGCTGCGATGGTGAAATGAACTGGGTGGCGCAGCACTACGACGGGCTCCTGGTGGAGCTATCGGAGCCTCCGAATGCCCCGGATATTTTGCAAATCTGTCCCGATGCCCAGTGCATCCTGCAGCTGACCCATGCTGCCAAGAAGCCCATCATATTCAATCCCTGGCACATTAGCCAGCAGCGTTTGCGTGTCGATCCCGAGCACTATTACCACGTGTTCTTCTATCCGGACAAATATTTGGTCAGGTCGGACCAGTACCAGGGAGTCTTCTACTTTAGTTTCTTGCAAAGCGCCATTTTCGATCAGATCCTGCCAATGGCCCTCTCCAAGATGCCCCTCTGCGACAGCTCGCACACGGGTGCCGACGGCATGGCCCGGGCTGTCGTTACCGCCTCCATGGAGGCGAACGCCGCAGCCATTGTCATTTGTGGCGTCACCACGCGCATGGTCCAGAAAGTGGCGCACTTCAGACCCAAGACGCCCATCCTGTTTGTCAGCCACATGCGCTCCGCCGAGGACTACGTCTCCCTGTACCACAATGTCACCATGCTGCCGTTTCGCACCAGCTTCTTCACCGGCCATCAGCGCAACATCTACAGCAAGTCCGTCTTTGCCCTGGCCTACCTCGCCTCGCGCAAGAGCATCAAGGACGGGGACAAGATCATACTGGTCTACAACTACGCCACGGGCACCACGTTTCCCGAGAAGTATTTGATCTATACCTTCGATAAGAAAAATTTCGTATCCCATTTGGGCAAGTCGCTATTTCCACAGGATGCGCAATGCGATGTCTGCCCGGATAAGAAAGGCATCTTTATGTATACTCATTGAGCAGTGATACTACCAAGTTACCGTTAGCTATGCAAACTTAAATTGAATTGTTATGATAAATGTATTTAATCGGAATGTGTTATCCTTAAACTGTAAGCTAATCTGTAGAGTTATTCAAATATACATACATTATACATTATACACAGATCGATGCAAAACCCCTCGACAACTGTACAGACAAATAACAAGCCTACATCTATGAGGACCTACGAGGACAGTTGCACTTAATTTCTATATACAGGGTATATAACGTTTCATGGATATCTCGCGGCACGCTCGGCTATGTGTGCGTGCGTGCGCATGTAACAAAGCATAAACTAGAAATTATATTGATCGCTGGCATCCAAAGCCATAACAATTGTAACAATATTAATACAGGCGTCCAGTTAGGTTGAGCTCAAGGCAAGGAGTTCCGCTGCAGCGCTCTCATCGTGATATGCTCGTAGGCAGCCTTCAGGGTCGTGTAACAATAGCCCGCCATTCCATTCATTTCGGCCTGAAAGTTTGGCCCGCCCGTCAGATCGTCCAGCAACGCCAGCTCGGCGCCCAAATGTGGCACAGCGGCGCGCAGCATGCACAGCATAGAGAGTGGAATCATATTGTCAGCATTGAGCTGTGCGGCACTCGCTGCAATATTTACAGATTATTGACTTTGTTATCAAGCTAAGCTGAAGTACTCACTGGCCATGGCGTGCTCATACGCCTCTGACAGCAGCTCCATGCTGCGCTGTATCACAGTCAACATATCCTGGGGGCTGAACTTCTCCTGCAGCTGCTTCAGCGACTGTACCGCGGCCTCGAATTGCGTGTCCAGCATCACAGCATTGAGGCAACTGCAAAGGCAAACAACATTATACAAATCGGAGCAGTTGAGGGGAACGGGATTGACTTGTTTTGGCAATTAAAATATGGTCATTAAGATTCACAATGTCGGGGCAATCAGATAACTGAAACAAGCTGACAAATTATGGTTAAATATTGTGATTAAGTCGCTGAGAGTTTAAATCTAGTCCATGGAGCTCCAAATTGCGACGGTGGTCCGTTTGGGCAAAGATTCGAATCGCCCTCGCAGTTTGGAAACAGGTAAATATTAAAAAGATCATGCAAATATTTGATGTTAACACGAGAATTGCGAATGAGCCCATCAATTTTAATTGCCATCCCATTGCCATCGAAAGTGTAAATAAAATAAACGCAATGTTTATAATTTGTTAACCTGTCGTGGCCGAGCAGCTGGACCAGTTCCCCGTCGCTCAGCTTCTCGGCATGGTTTAGGTTGTGCCGGTACAGCTCATCCTTGCGATTGTATTTGTTGGCGTATAGCACGAACAGCGTGGAGTAAATGCCCTCGGACAGCATCAGTGGGTAGAGGAGCGTTATGTGGGAGATCACCTCTCTGCTGCCCTCGAGGTGACAGTAGTCTTCCGGCAGGGCAGGAAACATTTTACGCACGAACCGATACGTACGCCTCGATATGGACTCCCATTCGCGCATCGCCTGCTTGGCCAGAATGGAGGTGGGCTTCACCTTCCAGTAGCCGTAGGAGTAGTGGAAACAGTTGGCGATGCGCTCATTTAGTGCATACAGCGGATGATATTGATCCTTGAATGCTTGCTCCAGATAAAGCCGAATACAGCTCACATCGTGCTCGGTCAGTGTCGAGGCCATGCCAAAGCTGGGCACCTGCTCCAGCAGTGCGCTGCCCGTGGAGGTCGTCGAGGTGATCGAGCAGTTGCTGTTGTTAATATTCTTGGATATGTTGTTGTTGTTATTATTRTTCTGCAGCACGCTGCCAAAGCTGGTGCTCAGATTGCCTGGCTCCTGTCCGCCATTGAAGCTGCGCTCCAGCAGGCTTTCGTTGAGACCAAAGCTCACCAAGCTTCTGGTGTCTATTGTCGAGTTGTGCCCAATGGAGAGTAGGCTATCCGAGCGCTGCAGATCGTCCTGCTTGCTGCATAGCGTCTCCTGCGACTGAATCCGACGTGGCGTCGAGCCGAACAAGTCCAACGAAATCGACATCTTTCGAGTCACCAGCGTCGATTGCAACGTCGGCGTGCTGCTCATCAAAGGCTGTGCCGCCGGCTTCGGTGGCAGCGGCAGACTAAGTAGAATGTTGTTGAAGTAATTGCCCGGCTTGGGGCCGTCTCGAGAGCGCTGCTTGTTCATATAAATCGCTATGCAGCTCCATATCTGGGCCGTGCTCATCGCGGCTTTAGCCGGTTTCTTAAGGGTGCCGCCCAAAATGCCGGAGAAGACGCTGTTGCTGCTGCTGGAGGCGCTGCAGTTCGCCAGGTCCGATTCAAAGTTCTGGAACAGTGCACGCCACTTGCGATTGTGATCCACTACCATGCGGCCAAGAGAGCTAAAAGCAATAAAATAAGAAAAAAATCAAATATTATATGAATTAGCGTCTGCTTGGCATAATTACCTAGGGAACTTGGGGAATCGTCGATTCAGTGCCAGTTCACCCGTCTGGATGCGCACCGTTTCCCAGCTGCCACTGAGCTGGCCAAACATTTTATTGCCTATGAGCTCATAGTTGTCGTCGTCCTCCTCGCTGGCGCCCATCGAGGCATTGCCAGCATTGCCAGCATCGCCGCAGGGCATATAGTAATCGCCGCGCCCGTTAGGTCCCTGCAGCGTCAGCTCGCCCTCGTAGTAGTAGTCGTTTTCGAAGACAGCCACGCCGCTGCCAGTGAGATCGTCGGCCGCAAAAGTGCCCTCAAAGTAGTCGCCACGATTCGTGATGCAGCTACCGGGCCCGCAGCGCTTGTTGTCCGCAAACATGCCCATGTACTTGTCCCCGCTGATCAGGTCTTCCATGACGCCGTAGCCGCTGCGCGTGTTGGCCACGTACTCGCCCACATAGATGTAGCGATTGTTGCGCATCATGCCGTGGCCGTGGAAGAGCCCCTCGCAAAAGTTGCCCTCATAGATCTCGCTCTCCTGCGCCGCGCTGCCGTTCAGCTCGTAGATGCCGAAGCCATGAAACCGACCGCCCTTGAAGTTGCCCACGTAAACCCCGGTCGAAGGAATCACCATCTTACCATAGCCTATAAATGTGGAATACAGTCATTAGAAAAGTTTAAATATGCGAGGAGGGGACGCACCTTCGATGACGCCACGGTGAACCTCGCCGCAGTAGACACTGCCATCCGGATACTCCAGATAGCAGTTGCCATGGAGCACGCCTTTGCGCCAAGTGCCACAGGCCTTGACTCGGGAGAACTTTGGATGCTCGCGACTATACTCGTAGGCGGTGGAGCGCACGCTGGGCACGGGGCTGCCCAAAGGTCGCTTCAAGGCGGCCACAATGCTCGCCTGCAGCTGGTCGAGCCAGATCTTGCGTGACTCCGCCTTTTTGGTAGTCAGAAGAAAACTCTTCTCGGGCGTCACAATGCGCAGGTCGAGCTCGCCCTCCGACCAGACCCACAGCGCGCTCAGTGGATAGGTGTAGAGCGCATTGTTGCCCACCTGGCAGAGGAAGTCAGAGAAGAGTATAAAGCTGTGGCTGGATATGCTGATGCGAGCGTTGGCCAGCTTCAGCGGCACCAGCGTCGAGGTGAGTATGACGCGTCGCTGACGCTGCCTCAGATGCGAAATGCGGGGCGTGCACTCCTTGCTGCTCCAGAACTCTTTGGTATTGTCGGCCAGCTCCTGACTGATGCAGCTCTTGCGCGCGAACTCCAACCAGGCCAACCGATGCTCATCGTACTCGGGCTGGGTCTTCACGAGCAGCTCCATGAACTGGTTGAACAGCTGATAGATGCCGAACGGCTGCTGAAACAGGCGCGTTAAGTAGCTCTCCTCGCCCAGCTCTGCCAGGGGATTGTGGTTGCTCAATGGGGGCGAACAAATGGCAGCCACCGCCTCGCCAAAGCCGTTCACGGAGAGCACATCGCAATAGGCACTGGTGTAGCTCTCGAAGAGCTCGATATACTCGCGATGATAGCAAATATAGAGGAGATCCGCCGGCTGCACGTAGTCCGCGCGATAGAACCCTTCGAGGGAGTGCAACGTGGCTGCCAAGAGGCACACGATGCGCTCCCAGTTGAGCAAGAGGGGCGCCAAGACGGGAAACTCCCAGATCATCAGCGTTTGCACAGCCTGACGCTGCTTAAGGAGCAGCTGCAGCTGTGACTCCAGGTGACTAAGAAAGTAGTGGTACTGCCGCTGGAACTGGCGGCAATTCTGGAGAGTGTATCCGCCGGCACAGTGCAAGAGGCGCAGCTGACGAGGCCAGGCAGCGCCCATCTGCAAATGCAGCACCGTCTGCGCATAGGTGCTGGACTGGGATTGGGGCAGCGTTTGGATCTGCCCAGCTGCATCCAGCACTAGCGTGCGATAGTCGCCACAGGTGGCCTCCAGCGCTGTGTGCTGCTCCGGCGTAATCTGCTCCGCCAGGCAAATTTCCATGGGAGAACTCAGATCTTCGCCAAGCTGTTCGCGATTGTTGATGCCCCAGTGGTAGAGGCGCCCGTCCAGAGTCCGCGCCACGCTGTGCTGCCTTCCGGCGGCAATGCTGCAGACGCCCATGCCGTCGAGCTTCTCGAGGCGAGCGACATGGGCACGTCGGATGTGATCCCCTGTGCCCAGCAGGCCGCCGTTAGACGCACCAAATGTAAAGAGCTGAGTGTGGAGCAGCGCATAGCCCTGATGGAGCAGATGACGGGTGTTCGCTGCAAAGCTACGCTCCGAGCTGCCGCTGTGTATCGATTTGAGTGAGCCTTGCTCCTCTTGTGGCTGCTCCTGCTGCAGCTGCAGCACGTCGTCGGCTTGCTGATGCGGCGCCAGGAGCATCACGAAGTGCTCATCTCCAGCGACGAGGTCCAGCAGTTGCTTACCTTCCTCGCAGAGGCGCATGTGGCGAGGTTCCTCAGCGTTAAACACCTCTCCACAGCTGCCCAGCACATATGTTGCTCCGCGGACGCTGACAAAGACCACGCCCTGCTCTGAGCAGCAGACGCGACGCATGCTGACGCCCTCGTCGTGCAGCTCTAGCGGATCAAAGCTGAGCGTTTGCCATGCGCCCGGGCGACAGCTGCCTGCAATAAGCTGTCGTTGGACGCTGCCATTGGCGAGCACCACAAAGAGCTGTCGGCTCCCGCGACAGTAGTCCACGTCAACAACATCCGTTCGCAGCAGGCTCAGCTCCAGTGTGTGCACATCGTGCGTCGGCAGCAGTGTGGCCGAATAGAGCGAATGATCCGCTGTTAGCAGCAGCAGCCAATCAGAATCGAACTGGACTCCAGCCTGCGAATCAGTCTCGCGTCCAACTTCGCTCTTACTACTCCCTATGCAGCAGAGTCGCAAGGCAGGCGAGCGGGTGAGCGGAGGCACGCCCTTCCATTTCAGCTGCAGTGCCTTGCCTTTGTAGTAGATGGCAAATGCCTCGGCATTGCTGTTGGCTGCCTCGCTGGAGCTCGACATGCTTCTTCTTCCAGGACCTTGTTTTTGTTTTTGTTGTGGTTTTGCTTTCCACTTGCGAGTTTTGTAACACGCAATTGCAACTACTCTAATTAGACTCTATTTACACATAATAATTGCATTTTGCCCCGCAGCTTAATGCATTCTAAGAGCACATTATGACTACTTTTGAAGTTATCCACGGACGCGAATCGCCAGTTGTGTGTTATGCTTTTCAAATTGGCAAATTTTTAATAAGTTTTTATTTGTGATGGTTTTGCGGCCAGAGTGACCGTAGATGCACAAAGTTAGATTCCAATATGAGAAAACATACACTAGTCAGCAAAATTCAGGTTGTAAAATTAGCTAGTCCGCATTGTGTAATATTTTATACTTATTTTATTGCAGGTTCTATAGTTATAATGAAAAATATTAATGAAAAATAAATTATTAAATATGATGAAATATATACATAAATAAAATATGTTATCCACACAAAGCTGCAGACACATGCAGTGCTGGTATTTATTTTATTGAGACATTTTGCTTTTAAGCAGCAACGGTCACACTGCTTCGCCATCAACAGCTGCGCCGCTGGCAAATCTTATTAAAATTTGTAAATTTTGTTTACAACGTGGAAAATGAATACGTTCCGCTTGTGTGCTAACTATTATTAACAGGCCATAATTTAAATAATTTTGGCAACGAGTGCAAACAGCTGGTAAGTACTAGTGACCTTTAATTAAACGACCTTGACTATTTTGGTTTCTAGGTCTCGGCCAACGCAATGGAATCTGAGAATTCTGGGGGCGTAGCGCAGGCAGATGACTCTGGCCTTTTCAGCTGCAGCAGTGATGCAGATGATACAGCAAATCATTCCAGAACATGGCAACTGCCTCAGGAACGGGTGAAACAGGACGAGCCACCTCACGAAGCAGAGGACTCACTTTTTATGGTCTCACAGGAGCTGCGCAAATCGCGCAGTGAAGTGGAACGTCTGACCAAGTCGGAACGGTGGTACAAGCAGGAGTTACAGTCACAAAAGCATAGCCGTCTCGAAACGTTAGAGCGTCTCTATGTCCAGGAGCGAAAGTATATGCTAGAGAATCAGAGACTACAACAGGAATCCCAGCGACTCCAAGAGAAATGCGCCGCACTTGAAAAATGTGGACTGGCGGCAGCTGGTACAACAATGCCGTTGTCGTCAGAAATAGCAAAACAAGCCACAAGCGAAAATTTATTCGAATCTTTTGAGGCACAGCAGCAGCAGGCAAAGCTAATGGACCAGCGACAGCTCACGGAAGTGCTGCGTAAGCAAAAGAAACAATTGCTCGCCGATATGGAGCGTCTGAGTCTCGAACATGATAGCAAGCAACTAGAACTACAGCGGCAGCTTGCAGGTGTCGAATTGGAAAACAAACACATGACGCGTCAGTGCAAGCAGCTGATCGACGAGCAGCGCGAACTGGCTCATAAGCTGGAGCTGAAGTCGACTACGCTTCGGCATGTGACAGAAGAGCGAGAGCAGCTGCGTCAGGTCATCGCGGAGCTCAATGAAACGCTGCAAACGCAGGAACAGCTGCTTGCGTTGAAAGAACGGGAGTTCTTGGACATGAAGCAGCACTACGAGCAAAAACTAAGCAGCGAGTGCACCATTGACGCCATGCACAACTATAGCATGGCATTCCATGGCGCGATCATTGCCAAGACGAGTGAAATAGCAACCCTAAAGCACGCACTGCTTGAGCTGCAGTCGGAGTTGCTGCTCATGTCGAAGCTAGAGGCCCAAAATGAGGAGCAGCAGAGGCAGTTGGAGCAGTTGAATTTTCAGCTGGAGGCACAGCAATTGGAACAGGCTCTTAAAGACGCTCGACTGAAGGATTTAACAACGGAAAAGGAAGCTTTCGCTAGGCAGCTGAAAGAATCGCAACAAGCTCTGCAAATAGTGGAGCAGCAGCTTATGGAGCTCCACAAACAATACTCCGAGACGAGTGCCAAATATGAACACACAAAATGCCAGCTCGAGGAGCAGCAGTCACAAAATAATGAGAAGCAAGAGAAGCTTAATAAGCTTCGGGAACAGCTTCAACTTAATGCAGAGCAATATAATCAGCTGAGTGAGGCGAAGGCCCGAATGGAAGAGAAGCTGAATCAGAGCCAGACCAAGCAACTCACAAGTGCTGGAACCCAAACGATGCCCGTTGAGCCTGTGCTGGAGCAGCGCATTGAGTCTCTGGAGCAGCAGCTGACGGCAGTCAGCAAACAGAAGCAACAAACAGTTGCGCTGCTGCAGAAACTGTTGCAACAACAGAATGATAAGATAAGGAATACCAATGAAATGGAGGCAGATTGGATGCAGCTGCTCGAAGCACTGCAAGCCACGCAGCAAATGGAGCGGCAAATGGAACTGCAGCTGCAGCAGAAATCCGACGAGTTGCAGCAGCTCAATGAGCTGTTCGCTCAGCAAAACGAACAGCTGCAGCAATTGCAGCTGTTGAGTCGAGCCCATGAAAGCCAAAATAGCAACGAGCTGCAAAAGCTCAGGCAAGCACAAGCTGTCGATGCGGCTAACCTGAAGGAATTGCAGGCACAAGTCCAGGCGCTGCTGAAGGAGCGACAGTGTGCTCCCAGGAAACAGCACAGCAGCCTGCTGCAGATTCTGGAAGCGGAAACGGGTCGCAAGCTACAGCATGTCAAAAGCTGGCCCCAGCTGACCAAATTGCTACGACAGGAGCTGCGCGCTGCAAAAGCTGCAGCAGAGCTGCCCATGCTTAAAGTGAAGCTAGCTAAAATAGGAGGCAAATACGAAGAAGCTCTAAGCAGAATCAAGGTGGGTTGATGGATATGGATAGCAGAAGATGAGAACTCATTTGCACAATATATATTTCATTAGTTTCTAGAGCAAAGTCTGGCCGCAGAAAAGGCTCGTTTGAAACCTGCAGATTTAGGCAAATCTTCAGCGAACTCTACGCCATTGGAGCCGGCTCATGAGGTGCCCAATCTGATTGATGACTACAAGAAGGTGAGCACTGCATACGGGCATTCCAACTGAATAACTCAATTCAACTATATTTTACTTTCAGCTCATTCAGCAAACTGCACAGGAGACGGGTCGCCCACGCAATAGTTATATATTGGATCTAATTGAACGAAGTCAACGTAGTCAGCCAAATTTGTGCCAACTGAGCAAAGGCTTGGCCGCTTGCCGTGAGGATATGCTAAGTCTCACTACGCTGCTGGCCGGTCTGGAGTCAAGCAGAGCACGGCCAGAGAACATGCCATCCCTTATGGAAGAGCTGCGCGCCGTTGCCGAAAAGGCTTGAGTCACAGAACATCAGCCATATCCATTAAACTTAGTCACTTAGCATAAATCATAGATGATAAATTAGCTTCAATTTTTTGTTGTATTATTTGATGTACTTATTTTGTGTTCTTATTGTTTTCCCTTTTCTTTTTGTGTGTGTTATTGTCTTTGCAAAAGCAACTATTTATGTTTGTTAATCATCTCATTTCAAATGTGCAATTATTTCGAACATTTCATTAAACATTTATTGAATAGCCCACCTTATTGCTAACAAGGCTAACTAGTCCCACAGCTTTCAGCTCTAYATAAAATCGAATATGTATTTTCTATAGGCATACATTTCCATATCTATTTCTGTTTGTTAATCGAATCGATTTCTTGAAATATATCGAATATATTACGAATATATATATACACATAAATGTATATTATTCATAGTGTATATCTTTTTATACATTTCATATTTATTATATTACATTATGCAAATATATTTATCCCTATATATATATACATATATTCCAAAAAAGATACATATTTGTTTTATTTTCAATTTGCATTTTAAAAATACTTACAATAACTATTTATTTTCATAGATTTGTTAAATTTACCAAATAAATATTTGATTTTATTTTAATCTCTGAACTTATGAAAAATTAAAGTACAGGGTATTATATAAATATAGTTCAGTTTTATTCCATGTGTTAATCGATTTTAAACATTTTTAGCAATACAATTTTCTGAGAAATAATATATTTATACTATCTAATATTAATTATAATATCTAATATTTTGATATTAATATTTCCCAGTTTCGGCTAGCATAATAGAGCAGCAGAGCGTATGTTTAAGCTTATCCCAGTCGATTATTCACATTTCGCTTGCTCACATTTTATGTGGCGGCATCGTTTTATATATGAAAACCTGGCATTGTCAACGCCTGGGCCTTGGCTATTGGCATTGGCATTGGCTTTGGCTTTGGCATTGGCATTGGTAGAGGTTGTGGCTAAGGTTCTGGCCAAGGTACGTGGCCACTTGGGTATTGATAAATGCGTTGAAAAGTAAGCGACCGCCCAGTAGATTTGCACCCAAACGTCGCCCTTCCGTCTTTCTGGCAGGGCACAATCGTTGGCCAAATTCAATTGGCGCAATTTTTCATCGTTCGCAGTGCCTTTAAGGGGAACCGCGGATCCATTTCTGCTGCTCTGCCTGTTGTAGTTTTTGCTGTAGGTTTTGGCCGTTGCTGTTGTTGTCTATTGTGCCTGCTTCTGCTCCTGCCGCTGTTGCCGCTGCTGCTGCTGCTGCTGCGCTGGCAATTGTTCTCTGCTGCAGCTCAAGGTTGTTTATTTTGAAAAATCACCAACTGCTGAGAGCCGCCCGGCCGAACATCGTGGCCATGTGGCGGCCTGGGATTTAATTCAATGCCCGGACATTTATAAATTGCATTCAATTTATACACAACACGAAAGCGTGATTTTTACATTTTTACAATCTGGTGAATAATAGATCAGCGTCGCATTATTGCCGGCCGCTCGTTACTGTCCTTTGGCCTCAGCGGGCACTCGCACTTCTCTGACACCACGATTGTCGCCTAGCCAATATCATAATTTGTATATTTTCACAAAATCCAGATTCGAATTCTATCAGGTCTGGAAATTCCTGAATTTGATATAGATATGGTGAAATGACGTAGAAATTGATATAGTGAAATGTTATTTGTGGTTGATCGGTTGATCTTAACGTTCTTATCTCTAATATTTTTCGCTGGGTATCTATCTCACTCTTTGTAGTTGTCCCTCTCTCTCCCTCTCTCTCCCTCTCACTTTCTATATCTCTGTCATATGCTCAATACTTTCCTTTCCATTCTCCATTCATATTTCTATCTTTCTGTACTGTTTGGGAGAAGTCTCTGTATCCCAATTTATTCCTCCTTCTTTGTCTTACTGTCTCTTGTTTTC